GTCATGACCTCCATGACCCCCCCCTGGATCCACCCTTGTACATGGTGAATTTCGTCGACCGTGCACGAAAACTGTAGGCTGTAAACAAAAGTTGACGTTTCGAAAACAACTGTAAGTTGGAAAACTTCTAATGCACGGCCTTCATAAAACACCCTGTATACTGATACATTCTCTGCTTCAAAAGAAGACGATCTGGCCCAACTTTTACTAAGGAAAAGTGTTCCACTCCCCTGCTATCCATTGGTTTAATGTGTCTTTGTGCTGCGTGTATCTTAATACAATTCGTCTACTTCTCAATTAATCGCCTCATTGCAGTGACCACTCATAATTATCGTTAAATTACACAAACAGAATTTTTCCCAAACATATTGCAACACCCGGTTTCGCAGCCAACTCTCTCTGCTTCTGGGTTTCCCACATTAGAATCCTCATCATCTATCTCATAACTGATTAGATCTTACATAAGGGCCATACGCTCACGGCCAATTGACTTTCATTGTTCCAACCCCTCCAAATGGATGGAAAGCCCACCTTGGCCAAGGGCACGTGCCCGTCGTTGAGCGCTTACCTCGTTGGTGATATTCGCAAGAAGCAATGCCAAAAATATTGTAATAACAGTTGATCTGAGCATGTTATCCCGGCTATTTTAATGACAATGGGCCTTGATTTGGGGGCGGCACTCAATCCGCCTTTCTAAGCTGGAATTAACAAGATTTTCTATATACAAAGCCAGCTCGGACATGTGTCTGACCGAGTGAGCCTTGTAGAACATCCACAGTCAAGGCGTGAAAGTTTAGAGGCTTGAACACGGATTTTGTACAGTGAATCGCTGGCTTTTGACCTTTTTTTCGAACACTAGGTAAACGAACTAAGAATCCAGTCGAGGTCTTGGTAAATATCTATACAGGGTGATTCCAAATTGGCGTCACTCGTCCGGAGGTGTTTTAGGAGTACAAAAAAATAGTAAAACAAATTAATTGTTATTGAAAACTGAGAAATTTGCAAAAAACTATATTAGAAAAACGGCAACAATGGTTTTCAAGGTAATCTGCCTAATTGACATTACGTAAATACACAAGCGTCTACGTATACGGTTTGTTATGATTTAAGACGATTTGAGGTTAGGTGATTTTTCCCGGTATTTTGTTGTAACCGTAATCTCTTTGGATTTTATTAATATAGTGTTGGAGTTTGTTTAACATGTCACACTAAGCAACACATGAAAATAATTGCCTTTTTCACTATCCTCACAAAAGTGGAAGACCAACAACGTAGTGCGACCTTTTAGTAGGTAGTACATACTATGTAAATTAATTTAATTATTTCAGGCATATAAAATACTAGCATTTGTAATCAGAAATTTTAAATATTTTAGCAGTAATACAATGTTTTTTATTACATTTTTAGTATTTAATGTGATAAGCACTCTCACTTGTTATTACAAACAGGGAGGTATTTATTATAAGTTTTACCGATAAATAAATCTACGCAATATAATTACTAATTTGAAAACTATCCGTATAAATGTATCGATGTATGTAACGATATTCAGTATACTGTCAAATATATAAAAAGCCAAACTTTTTAAGAGATTTATTTAATGGTTTAAGTTGTTCATTTAAATACTATGAATACCAAATCTGATACTTATTTAAGCTGATCAGAATAAATCATTTGTAAATTATTAATATATTATTATCAATTTAAAAATACTCATAATTATCACTGTCTTTCTTTGTGCTAATATAAAGACAATGCTATTATTTGTCTACCAACAAATTGAAACAACCCCTCTTAAAAAATTATAAATTACTAGCCAAGAGCGTATAAAGTTTACTAGAGAAGAACTTGTCAACGATACGTTCGATAACAAGAAACCGGTAGGTTTATTTGATTGGTTCGAATCGCCGCAAACGATAGAAGTGACAAGCAGGGTTGCCAGGTCCGAAAATCGAGTTTGGGTAGATAAGCTCGACACTTTTCAGTAGAAAATCGTTAGACTAATTTTTCTTTCTTTATTAAGGGCCAGAGCTGGTTGGGTAGTCCAAAACCTCACAAAAAAAAGCTCCATAAAATCGCGCGTTTCTCAAAACTTGAATTTTTAAACTTACAGGAATACTGAAATAAGCATGAGTCAGTAAAGAAGTACAGATGAAATCGTGCTCGTTTTTAGCTTATTTCTCAACTTAGTTTTCATTAGATTAACCTG